GCACTGTTAATCTCATTACTGCACTGTTAATCTCATTATTTTCAATGGAGTTTATTTCCGCATGAGGAGTTAGCGTCCCAGATGGTGCTTCAAAGGATAAAATTGACAATTTGGACAAAGGCATATATTTATGCAATTGATTGTGATTAAATGGCTTTCTCTGTGTAATGTGCAAACCACTGATCTGGATGTTTGATCTAGATGTTTGATTTTCTTATTTTGTCTTCGGAAGGATGAAAATCTCTGAAATATTTCAGCCGTTGCCAAGGTGTTTCAGAAAGTCTTCTATATCCGTAAAAGAAACCCCTCAGTACTAAGTTCCTGTATTGTAGCAAAATCATATTATCTTTTAGATTTTCATTACAGATGCATGTTATTGCAGGACAGGATCTTCAGATTAACAGGCCAGCAGATATTCACTAGATTTATCTGCTGTCAAAGCTTGCTAAAGAAAAAATAGGAGGAGGGGTCTTGCTTTTTTATTATTCAGTCGAGCATTAGCAAGGTAGACTTTTCAGGCTTTAGCTGCTCTCCAATAAAATACAGCAGTGATGGTGCACCTTAGGCCTGGGGGCCAAATGCAGGCCTCCAGGCTTATCTGCATGGCCCCCATGACTCTTCAGGCCACACCCATCCCCACTGACCCTTCTTCACACTTCTGGTGTTTTTGCCTGGCTGGGATGTGTCATTGAATTCTGATAAATGCCTTTTGCTTACCTGAATGAAAAGTAGAGAAGGGTGTGTGAAGAAGCTAGCTCTCTTCTTTATACAAAATTTACATTCCTTACTCCACCCACTTTTGCTGCTGGTCCCTTCCACAACTGACATCTAGCCTTGAAAAGAAACTGGGAGTTAAATGGCTGGACTGCCAAACAGATAGCATTTCCCTCCAGCTATCTCTCTTTCACTAGGAATAATTCCCTGCTTTCCGGCATCTTCCCCAAATAATTGTCACTATTTTCCTTTCCAGCTGATGTTGAGTCGGTACTATTTAAAAAGTGTCCAGCTGTCCCACTATGCCCTCCATCACGTCTCCATATAGTATAGGTTGCTAAAATGTTGCAGTGCACAAGTAGATCACTAGTGATCAAGGCCCCACTTATACATTAAAAGCATTATCATGGGTTTCCCCAAATAATCATGGGAACTGTAGTTCATCAAAAGTGCTGAGAGCTGTTGAAAGATCCCTTTTCTCCTTAGAGAGCTACAAATCCCAGAGTGATTTAGCAACCAATCCCTTTTCCCAGGAAGCCCCAGGAATTCTGCCTCTGTGTGCAGAATAAGGGGGTGGTGGTGGTTCTCCTAACAATTCTCAGCACCTTCAACAAGCTACAGTTCTCAAGATCCTTTGTGGAAAGCCATGAGGGATTAGATGAATTCATTAAGGCAGTTGATGATTACTTGCCATAATATAGATCACCTCTATTAGCAGAGGCAGTATGTCTCTGAATAGCAGGTGCTTGGAAACACTAGTAGGGAGAGTGCTGTTGTACTTATGTCCCACAGGTCATGTGACTCACATGGGAGTCCAGCCCCAGAAGATAGGGTCCTGGTTTGGGGGCACTTTGTATTGGAGGATATGTGATTGGTCACAGTGACAACAGAATGCTGGACCAGATGGGTCTTTGTCTTGGCTCAGCAGGGTTCTTACATTCTATTTCTAGGTCAGAGCAGAGAACCAGAACTTTGCTAGAACGTTGCTCATGTTTTCTGGTAGACACCATTCACACAACTTGTTGAGAGCTGAAATATGCAGTCTTTCAAGTGATCCGTGTGCATTGTGTATGGCAACCATTCCGACAAAAATGGGAGTGGATATTGTTGTTGTTTTCGGTCCACAAACAATACCTAAGTGATGACTCCCCCACCTCCCACCCATCTGCATTGTGCTAGCTTTACATTGAAATTAATGGCGTCTGCCATTAATGTGAAGTGAATGGTGTGAATAATGTAATAATAAACAGCATATCTTTTGTTGGAAGCCAAGCTGCGGCAGAACAGAAATAGTACTCAAACATGGTGCGGAAGGGAGATCAGAGCCTTCTTACGCCCAAAATGTATCTATAGGCCAATGGCTGCAATTTACAAAATGTCATCTGTCTTTGGAAATGGGGAAGGGGCTGTGTTTTCCACACTGTTGCAACAACCCCCCAACTCAACCTGTAGTGTGAAATTGCATTTCAAACTAAATCAAACAAAGAAAATATACCCAGGCACAACTTCTGTTGCATATGTCAGGAGCTCTGCTGGATCCCAGCCATTATAATTAAGCACCACAATATATTTTGTGATTCTTTGCAATCCTAACCAGTTTTGCAAGGGAACAAAGCTGACATTGGCACTCACGTCTATGCTGTGGAGCTGCCAAATACTTTAATTAGCCTGCATTTTGCTTATTCTGCAGGTAATTTTTAAAGGAGTCAATTAACAGAAATGTTTTTTGTCAGTATTTGTGGTCAGTTGAAATCTGTTGTTGATAATATTTAATTTGCATGTGGCCAGTAATTACGGTCAAACAGAGCTTTGTTCTAGTGAGTCTGAAGTTACATAGGTGAATTAGTTCACTTAGTGCAGGCATGGCCAAACTTGGCCCTCCAGCTGTTTTTGGGACTACAACTCCCATCATCCCTAGCTAACAGGACCAGTGGTCAGGGATGATGGGAGTTGTAGTCCCAAAACAGCTGGAGAGCCAAGTTTGGCCATGCCTGACTTAGTGTCAACAGTGTATTGAGCTGATGGTTGTCATATTCTAGGGAGCAAATGTTATTCGTTTGTGTTTTTAAAATGTTATCCCTTTATGGTTTTAAAATCTCAGGATTCAAAATACTCCATGAAATATATACAGTTAGACTGGCCAACTATTTGAAGGTTGGGGCATCAGCTACCACATATTCCTTTCTGTTTATTTATTTATTTAATGCAATATTGATTTAATTTAATATTTGTATGTATCCTGGCTCTCTTACCCAAGACACACAGACAAAGACACTTACTTGGAAGTACGGACAATATATTTATTCAGGCAAGTAACAGTACAGGCTTGGCAGTAGACACAGGATCTAGGAGTCAAAATTCAGGAATTCAGAAGCAGGGCATGAAGTTCAGGACCAGGGCATGAAGTCCATGATCAGGCAGAAGCACTGAAGATGTCCCAACAAGTTTACCTACCTTTCCTGCCAAGCATTTGTAGATGAGGTGTTGTGCTCTCACTTGTGGGACTCTCGCTTTGTGTGAATATTGGGATTGCTAGCACAGGCTCCATCAGTTGGGTCCACTCCCATCTGCAAAGGTGGATCCAGGTGACAAGGCTGCCCTCTTGTTCAGACTGTTGCTTTTCAGTTGCTGCTGCCTCCTGTTCAGCCACTCCTCTTGGTTGATCAGAGCCCTTCCTGGTCCCCAGTGAGGCTTCCCATGCTGCGGGAAGGCTGGATGGTAGAAACAACATCCCTGCTCCCCCCTCAAATGTGGCTGAAGTCAGGGTAGAAAGGGGAGATCCCGTTCCTCCAAGGTCCTCCCCTTTCAGTCCTCCCTCTGTTTCCTGCTCTTCCAACAGATCCCACTGACCAAAACCCGATCCTGACAGCACTGCACAGCTCACAACAGTCTGCCTCTTTTCCAGCAAACCATCTGAGCTCAAAGCAGCTAACACTAATTCTTATTCAGAAACAAGACCTGTCTTTAATGAAAGATGCCATGCTGCAGTTGTAAAACCCTATCTTTCAAATGCAATAAACCTTAGGCAGAGAAAACCAGTGCTCCCAGTGAAGAAGTACACCCAGTGTCCCACTTCCCCTGTCCTTCCACTTTGGTCCAGGTGATGTGTGCCTGTAGAATGAACACAGCCCTGTTTATATCACTGCTCGCTATGTGCAGCACTGAAAGACAACATCATGGTGACTGTCCTTGGGCAACACAACATGGCATCCACTCATAAGATGGGGCACTTAGGGGTGGTGGAGAACCATAGAGTTGGAAGTGACCACATGGGTCATCTAGTCCAACGCCCTGCAATGGAGGAATTGTTTGCCCAATGTGGGGCTCATGTTCTACTGACTGAGTGAAAATGAAAGTGCCCCCGAATGAAGATTTTGGTTGGGGCATTCTGTTCATTTAGCATGTATGTAGCTGTTCTCCTGCTATCATGTGCTTTGCATGGTTCTCCTTGGTAGGTCTACCCAAGCACTGATCAGATCCAAGCCTGCATAGCATCAAGTGGGTGGCTGCATCATTTGCTCTCCTTTAGCTTTTCCTCACATGGCAGGAAAAACCCTTGATATACACATAATTTTCCAATTAGGTATATTAAAATTATGCATGCTCTGGAGAAAGCAGGTAGCATTCTTACCCTCTCCCATAATGTTAAAACCTGAAATAATCTAATGAAGCTGAAGGGTGGAAATAGTTCAGACAAAAGGAAGTATTTCTTTATACAACACATGGATTTGCTACCACAAAATTTACTGACGGCTAGCAATCCCCCCCCCAAAAAAAACAGTAGTTGACCAGAGAGTCTGAATACTGCATCCACAAGTGGGAGCCAACACTCTATAGTCACGTTTCCTCAAGTTTAGAGGCAGTTGTTAGGGAACACAAATAGGAGAGTCCTGTTGTGTACATGTCCTGATTGGCCAATGTAGGAACAGAATGCAGGATTCTTCCAGCAAGACTCTTTATACATTCTTTTTCATTCATCTTGGTTGGTTTTTTCTCTTTGATGTGTATGATTAACCTCCTTTAATTGATAAAAGTTTGAACTTAAAGCATCTTTGTAAATTCAATGGACATTTAACCATATGAAAGAGAGTGGTTGTTGCTGTTTGCAACCCAGAAAGAGCAGGGAAAAGCTTCTGAGATTTTCTTATAAACCTTTCTTAAAAGCAATTTGAATCAGTCATGGCTAGAGTGGCACATTATTTTTCAACGAGTTGTTAACATAGCTGAGGCAAAGTGGATTTCTAAGGATATTAAATACTGCTTCTCTCTCCCTCCTGTTGTTACAGGATTGCACAGTGTATGAAACAGAAAATAAAATTCTTCATGTGGTAAGTACACATTTTGACTTTTTTTATGGTTGTGCTTTGCACATGTCTGTCCCATATCCATGTTATAATCTTGTACATAGGATCTTATTTTTGTATTTACACCCCACCTTTCCTCCTCGGAGCACAAGGGGGTGTACAGGGCTGTCCCTGTAACAATATTATCTTCACAGTTTAGTCTGAGACACATTGTCACCCATTGTCATACATTGTCACCCAGTGAACTCTGGGGCGGCGTGGGCATTTGAACCTAGTTGCCCAAATTCTAACCCAACATACTAATTGCTGTCACACAACTCTAGGTTGTGTGTGTGGCTGAACCGAACAGAGTTTGTAATAGAGGTAAGTCTCCCCCTGCTTTATCCTGTCTGTTCCCTGGAATGGCCCTTCTTTCGAGATTTGCCCTGCCTGAGCTCGCAGAACCATAAAATAGAGAATATGGATAGCTGAAGGAGTATTGTTCAGTCAGGACATCGACATCTCACTCCAGGGGCCTTCTGGCAGATCTCTCACTACGAGAAATGAAGTTACAGGGAACCAGGCAGGGGCACCTGCCCAGTGGAATGCCCTCCTGTCAGATGTCAACCTTCAGGAATATATCTTGTATCTGGAAATTTCTAATGTTTGATTTCGTATAATTGTAGAGTTGGAAGGGACCACAAAGGTCATCTAGTCCAACTCCCTTCAATGCAGGAATCTTTTAGGGGCTTGGACACATGACCCTCAGATTAAGAATCTCATGCTCTACTGACTGAACTATCCCTTCAGTCATGTTTCACTATGGTTTTTTTATATTCTGTTGGAAGCCGCCCAGAGTGGCTGGGGCAACCCAGTCAGATGGGCAGGGTATAAATAATAACATGATTATTATTATTAATAATAATAATCTGGTGTTATATATGCTCATAAACTGAGCTGAGGTGAGGGGCTTCAGCCAGTACAGCGGTACCTCTTGTTACATACACTTCAGGTTACAGACACTTCAGGTTACAGACTCCGCTAACCCAGAAATAGTACCTCGGGTTAAGGACTTTGCTTCAGGATGAGAACAGAAATCGTGCAGCAGCAGTGCGGCAGCAGTGGGAGGCCCCATTAGCTAAAGTGGTACCTCAGGTTAAGAACAGTTTCAGGTTAAGAACAGACCTCCGGAACGAATTAAGATCTTAACCTGAGGTACCACTGTATAGCCGCTGTTGAGCCCATCTCAGCTTGAGATCCGCTCATCCCAGTAGACCTTTGTCTAAATCTTTGTCCTTGTAAGTTGAACCCACTGATTGAAGATCTTTGCTCTGGAGCAACAGATTTGTATATCATCTGAGTGACAGCCCTTCAAACATGGCTGTCATATGGTCAGTTCATCAAGCCTCTCACTATCTAGAAGTAAGACCCATTGGACATGCTGGATGTTAATATGCACCAGAAGAGGCTTCAGAGCCCTTGTTTGATTTGAACCACTTTTAAAATAAATAAGAAGAATTGAGAATCTGGTGCAGTGATGACAAAAATTCAGCCTGGCAAATAAGTATACTAAATTCACCCAATTGCCAATGTTAGTGATCTGCTGCATATCTGAGGGTCTGGAATAATAATAAATGAATCTGGTAATAATAAATCTTTCTTCCAATTAGCATTATTTAAAATACAATACAATACAATAAAGAAAGTTGATGTTTCTACCTAAATGTATGCAGTGTGAAAAAAGTCCTACCTTGTTCACTTTTCAGCTCTCTTAATGATGGATTTTTACCATAGTATTTAATGAAACAGATACTCAGACTTAAAAAAATAATGATACATTTTGATTGTTGTCTGGACAAAATTTCATATTTTTGTGTGTGCATGTGGAATAAGAGTAGGTTCTTCATTTTTTTTGAATCTCGTTTAAAATTAGCAAACTGCTGCTTTGAAATAATCTTTAGGGCTACCTTTTGTCAAAAAAGAAAAAGAAAAGAAATTCATTTCTTTTAAGCAAAGATGTATAATTAACTTTGTAGGCAGTCTACATTTCCACTAAGCTATAGTAAATGTCACTTTATTAAAAACTCAATATAGGTTTTAAATCAATATTGACTGCCAAGTGACTTCAAAGGAGATGTTGTAACCATTTGGCTATTTATAGAATGGTTTTTAAAACTAAAAACAAAAACCCTAAACCCTATTGATGCATCATGTTAATTATTATAGTCTTGTGTGTCAATAACTCACAGTGGGATTGCAGTTCTTTATAGATTATGCTAAGGGTAGTTTTTTTAGCAATTTGTCATGCCTAGAATTTCATCAGTCAATGACAACTGGAGTGTAGATTTTTCTAAAAACAGGCAAGCCCAGCAGTAATAGAGTTCTTGCTTCTTTCACACACTCGAGAAGAATTAACAAAAGCAGTTATTTAAAATATTTTTTTAAAAAATTAACCATTTGATGAGTAGGAATTATTATTATAATTTAATTTATACACCACTTAATTGCCAAGGTTGCTTCTAAGTGGCTTACAAGTGTGAAACCAAAGTAGACGTAATTAAAATACAAACTAAAACAATTTCATCAAAGCATTAACATAAACATCAAAAATTAAAATGTATATAGCTCAAGCCCATCAAAACAGCACAATTAAAAACAGTTAAATGGCAATTAAAACAGAAATTCTCCCTCCCCACCCCTCACAAAGAAATAGTTGGTGGAATTTAACTGAAATTGTCAAGAGAGAGGGGAGATGGCACTTGTTCTACTTAACCTTATGTTTTTAACCTCTGATTCTTGCTCTGTGAACACACTGTATATTTAAAGCACATCCGCCAAAGAATCCTGGAAACTGTAGCTATTTTTTTTAAGGGTGCTGGGAACTGTTGTTCTGTGAACTATAGTTTCCAAGATTTGGGAGTGTTGGGGATCGGGGAGCAGCCTGAAGATGCCACCACAACTTTCTACTGGTCACACTTCTTAGTAAGAGCACACTGGTAAACAGCAATCATCTCCTGAAAATGTAAAAAAAATAAATCCCAACCTGGCTGAAAGCAGCAGATAATCAGGCACCATTTCTGCAGGCAGATAATTCTTCCAGGAAACGGGAAGGGCGATTTTAGCCCTGCTTTAGAACTAATCAGGCTAGATGTGACAGAATCTAGCCTAACTGGTGTTTCGGTTGCAGTTAAATTAGCTAATGTTCCTTAGCAATGAGTGATCCATACTGCCTTTTTTTCAGGTACAGCAGGGGGCTGAAATCCAATTACTTCTGAATGCTGCTGTTTTGAATTGGGAGTATGAACTTCCACATCCTGGAACTTATAGGCCAATTATGAGTCAGTACAAAAATGCAGGTTTCGTTTGAAATTTGGCTGGCCCTGACTCTGGCCTTTGTACTGGCCCTTCCAACTCACATAGCAATGTTCTACTCCAGGAGAGGCTGGTCAGTTAGGGAAAACTGAGCATTTCCCCAACAACCTCAGTCTTGATTCCTTCCAAGCCCACCTGCCTGCCTCCCAACTTGCATAACCAGAGCAGAAAGTAGTAGCACAGCCTGTCAACTTTCTCTTCCTCAGTCTCAGTGTTATCCTTGTACAACTTAGGAGGGAGAGGGTGGGCGGGAGCAGAACTATAATTTGTTAGTTCTCCTTCTCATTGGTAAAGGTAAAAAGGTAAAGGACCCCTGGACGGTTAAGTCCAGTCAAAGGCTACTATGGGGTTGTGGCGCTCATCTTGCTTTTCAGGTAGAGAGAGAAGGAGTTTATCCACAGACAGCTTTCCGGGTCATGTGACCAGCAGGACTAAACCGTCTCTGGCACAACAGGGAACCGTGACGAGTGCCAGAGCGCACGGAAACACCATTTACCTTCCCACCGCAGCGGGACCAATTTATCTACTTGCACTGGTGTGCTTTCAAACTGCTAGGTTGGCAGGAGCTGGGTAGCTCACCCCATTGCACAGATTTGAACCGCCAACCTTCTGATCAGCAATCCCAAGAGGTGCAGTGGTTTAGACCATAGCATCACCCTCTCATTGACTCTGGCTTCACTTATTGCTGCCTTCCATCCCCAGCTGCTCTTCTCTACTATACTAAGCCTTCTTGGTGGCAACAACATGGATATTTTCTAATTGGACAATGGCAGTATTGTGAGTGCCTTCTCATGTTCCCAACTATGTCATTTGGATCACAGGTTCCGGGGGCTTGAATGAGTTCACATTTATGAACAGAGTCCAAATTTGCTCTTCTTTGGCAAGCCCCTTCCAAGCTTAGCTCTGGAAAATTCTCCTATTATATGAATCTCCATGCCGCAATTTAGTACTCAGAAGTGTTGCTAGTCAAGTGCCAATCTTCCAGCAGAAACCCACCAGTATACTTCCAGTACAAATAATTTGAGCAAAATCACTGAACAAACCACTTAAAAGGCAATTCCAGAGAGAGCAGTTTTTCTGACTTCAGCTTTCAGTTTTCTCCTTTCATCAGCTCCATTGAAAGAAACCAGAGCATTATAAGTTCTTAACTGACTGTGGATGAACAAGTATTTATGAAAATGTTATTTCTCTGGTTAGCATGCAGTTTCTCTGTGAACCCACTAAATACAGTTACTGGAAATGTCTACTACTGGGGTTTGTCCCCCCCCCTTTCTTGAGCAGTAGCACAGCATTAGAATGATGCTCAAAGTTCATAAAAGCTGAGATAATTTGTTTGGCTTAACTAATTCCGCCATGTGATACTGAAGCCCTCTTGTGATGCAAGCTGTACCACAGTTTTGCAAGACTCAATTCTGCACAGAACCATGTAGGCCTTTATTGAAATGTGTGGCAGGTGCATAAATAGTAATAGTAACACAAGGGAAAAACTGTTTAAATGCTCACAAACTTGGCAAAGTCTTTGCATATGTTTATATTATGGATGTATGCTTTGTATTGTTTTATTAATATTATTGCTTAATGCAAGTTTCATCATGGCCTTTGGCTAGAACAGGGGTCTACAACCTTTAAGACAAAAAGAGCCACTTGGACCCGTTTCCAAAGGAAAAAAAAAC